CACACACACACACACACACACACACACACACACACACACACACACACACACACACACACACACACACACACATGTCTGTTCTCAAGTATTCTCAGATGTTAACGTTCTTCAGGGGGCTTTTATTCACTTCCCCGGAAGTTTCAGCTCATTTTGCTCTCTGCCCGTCAGGGGTGAAAGAAACGGAGCCAAGAAGCAGACAGCTTGTTGGCAGGAACTCTCCACAATATCAGATATAAATTCACGCAGGTCACCACAGCTAACCGACCCTAGCAAATGCAAAAAACGGCCACAACTTAACCAGCTTTACAAACAAAGAGCTAAATCTTAAGGTGGTAGTAGCTGAGAGTCATTCACGACTTATAGTTTGAGTGAAACACTTTGTAAAACTGTTGGAGCCAACCCTCCTCGTCTGTTAGCAAAATATGTCGTAAATTCCTGGAGAAGTGTAATCGAATCAGTTTTTAACTAGCAATAATTACTGTATTTATTCGTGTATAATACGATCTCATGTATAATACGACCCCCCTTTTTGAGTTTAAAAAGCATAAAAAATTTAATCCTCAAACCACCTCCAATTTCATACAGACTTCAAGATTTTACATATCAGTAAAATGATCATTGGACTGTTCATTTTATTTTAAMAACATATGTACTAAAACGTATTTTGACAACAAATATATATCAGCTGTAGCAGCATCATATGAATTCTTGCATTTGACACATGGTCCACCAGGAGGCACCAACACAAAAGTCAGAGACTTCACATGAGATTTGGACCATCTTCTGGGGCAAAAGCAGATTACTTCCTACTCGCGAGCGCCCTTTCTGGTGGGGAAACGTTTTTTCAGGGATACAAACTTTTTCAGAACACCGGTAGACGGCAGCCATTACAGACGAACATGTGTTTGTTATTGTTTGAGGAGCGGCTCGGTCACACGTTAATGTCATTAGTTCGTTATCATTATTAAGGTGCAGGACTGCTTTTCCCCCTTTTTTCACATCATGTCGCCTGCCTGGATCTGTTATTATCTCACTCTGAAGCACGGAGGAGTGTCAGAGTTATGCTCGTTTCAACTGCTTTTCACGACATGGTCTCATTTCTGGACTCAGGCATTTTGTAAATGAAGCCGATATTTCAGTTAAAATACATAAGTAAAAATATTTATCCTAGTATAATACTACCCCCAAACTTTATGGATGATTTTATGGATTAAATTTTACATATTAAACTTGAATAAATACGGTAGTCTTTTTGTTCTTTGTCTTTGTCCCCATTAAATAATAAATGTTTGTGATTCTGTTAAACATCTAACATTTGATGCACATGAGTTAGATTGTCCTAATAAGAATAGGTCCAAGCAATTTTTTTTAAAGCAAAGCAAGAAATGCTATTTCAGGTATTAGTTTAGCTTAGTGTCATCATTCCTGTGAGAGTAATCATTACAACAATTACTACAATTTCATTTATTGGCTTTTATTTTGAAATCCACACTGCGTGTTTGACGGTCAAACAGGATCGTTGCCATGCTGTCATTCCTATTTAAAGGAAACTGAGCTATAATGCAACATGGATCTCACATGTGTGGAGGCCACCCAAAAATGCTGAACAGCCACCCCTCAATATTAACTTTTCCAGTCAAGCAAATCAGCCCTGAAACAGAGTAACATTATATCTGCAAATAAATTGCACCTTGGGGGCAGATTTATAAACATGAAGCAGACCTCATGGTGCTCGGTGAAGGCCTTCTATTAATCAAACGAGAYGTGATTTTCACTTCAACTTGCTGCCTGCTGTGAAGGAGACATTATATGTTGTTTTGTACACAGACAGGAGTTTGACGGGTGCCGCTATCTTGCGTCGAATAAAAAGTTTCCCCAGATARCGCACATGGGGGCAGGGCCTCTTGCTGTGCAGGCAGCTGCTTCACATCTGGAACTTAATATAAACATCATGGCCAATAAAATCATTCCATTTCCTTAATTACTATTCCTGTCATTTCCGCACTAGATGAAAAGTTATTAATTCGAGGCCAACACAAACAGGCTTCTTCAGCGCGAGGAGCTGCTCCTGAAGCGTCGCCACCCTGACTACGGGCCGCTGTCACTGGACTGGAACCACAAGCTCCTGCCGCGCTCTGGCAGCGTTGCGTTTGTGTGCGGTGAACAGAGGCCAKGACGACGCAGACATGATGTCGTCCTGTTTTCCAGCGCCTCCAAAATGTCCCAACTGGTGCCAGGATAATAATGACAGGCAGCACCAGTCCTGTTTCATATCCCCTTCTCCCGCTTCCTCTAGTCTGTCCTTGTTTTTTATATTTTTTTTCAGTTTTGACACACTGTTCTCTACACCATTTATCCTTTCTATTTCTTTCTCTGAACATGYTGGACAGCAGAATTGTTCAGGAGGACACAGAAAGTCTGAATCTCTCAGGAATAAAAACGGCCAGAGGTTCACCAGTCTGCAAGCATCAAAACATTATGGAACTATTTCCAAACACCGTTCTTCAAAAGAAAATCACAGATGGGTTCAGGAATACCTCCACAAATCATTGTCCATAAATATGATCTTGTCATGCAAATAAGAAGCCATACAGTAAATGGGCACAATCCAGAAAACCTGTTGTCTTCTCCGGGCCAAAGTTTGTTTTAAAAGGACTGAGACAAAATGGAAAAAATGCTTTGTGGTCAATCACAACTTGAAATTGTTTTTTGAAACCACAAACGTTTTCTGTTATGAAAAGCACAGGGTCTGTCTAGTTTGTTATTGATGCACAGTTCATTATGCTGCCTCTCTGATGGTATGGAGGTGCATTAGTGCCAATGACACAGGCAYTTTAGACATATAAGACACAAAAATGTCACAATGGGATTTGCCTGGTTAAACGATGGTAAATAAATTTAAAAAAGATTCCATCAACGCAGAGCAGTATAATAGTACAAGTTTTAGAACAACATAAGCTCTCATTTTAACAATGTCTTAATGAGGTGAGGCTTYGAATATTTAAGCAAGACAATGCTACAGAAATGACCTGCCTGCAGTCCARACTTCTCWCCAGGAAAAAACATTCGGTGCATCATGAAACAAAAAAGATACAGGAGTGCTGAAGTGTTAGAACTCCACCTCAGACAAGAATGGGACATCATTCCCCTCTAAAATCTCCAGCAGCTGGTTGGTTCTTAGATATTTACAGACTGTTGTTTAAAAGAATATTGAATGCTTCTCAGTGGGAGCTGTAACCCTTTCCCAACATTTTTAAGATGTGTTGCTGCCATAAAGTTCAAAATKACCCTTTTCCCTCCAAAAATGATGCTTAGAATTTCAAATGTTTAAAATGTTGATTTTCCTTGGTGAAAAAATATGGTTTTAAAATTAAACAATTCTGTTTTTTTTCTTTTTACGTTTTACACAACATCCAAGCTTTTTCAGCACTTTCGGTTGTATTTGTCTGTAAATGCTTTTGACTATGCATGCTCTAAAAAAAGCAACTTCACAAAAGGTCATATGTCAGCTTGCAAACTTCACGAGCCATAATTTGCAGTTAAAGGCTTTCTATTGATTTGTAAGTTGCTGCTGCCATTCATCATACATTATATTCAAAAAGCRTGCATGGAAGGAGTCAGTGGGAACCTAACTGGATAATGGTCTTTACCCTTAAAGCATCTTTATGTTTGCACAAAGGGCATTAAGTTTCCTCCTTCTACTCCTAGTTCACCACCTCCTCTATTCAGCTCTAAATAAAGCTAATATCATGTTGATCATGACGTCCATGATTTGTCACAACCTGATGCTCTGATTCCGGCATTCTCAGGCCAAGAGTGGAAGAGGATTTGGTGRGCCACACATATACTTACACAAAAAAGAGGCATGTATGCACTCAAATACCACCAGTTTTGTAGTCAATGCTTTTGCTTCACCGCACACAATTAAAGTCCCAATTAAAGGCCATTATGGGTTTTCCACTAGCAGCAACCGCAGGAAGAGCAGCTCCACGGCCCGTATACACTGTGGGCGCACAGATGTCTCCTGTGTTGTCATCCARAGGAACTCTGGCTGATCCGCAAACTTTATGATCATAATTACTGATCAAAATTAAAGTGCAACAACAATATAAACTCAGAGGAGTGCGATAATAAATAAAAAGGAAAAGTTTGAGTGATTCCTGTGAGTAGGTCAAAGTGGGTCTATGAGAGCGTTTTATTCTGACAACACTGACTGAGGTGACTTTCTYGAACACAAGAGGGAGACATTTTCCTGATGTTTCATCCAAATCTGAGCACTGATGGTAAACATTAAAAAAGGCCACAGTTACCTGACTTCTGTTTCACACAGCCACATTCATCAGAAGATTTACACAAGCATTGGGCCCATTTATCTACTGTGAAGCATCTATTCACTCACCTTAACCGCAGAAGAGTTCAACACAAGTGTTTTCCCTTGAGCGGGGTCTGAAAGTGTCATGGGTTTCCGCTCCTGAGTTCCCATCCTCTTCCCCCAGTGACCTTAATGAGAGAGTAAAGCTCTCATCTGGCCAAACAATACACTGTTGTACGCGGTCGTGATAAGAAGTGGCCACTCAACAGCCTGTGGACATGCAGCTGAGGAGACGAAACAGTCTTCCCCGTTTGTCCCCTGTATGACACTCCAGATAAGATAACTTCACATGGACTCACGCACACGTGTCAGAATGCATGATGCTGACCCAACACACACACACACACACAAACACACACAAACCATGAATCCCTTTCCCATCCGATGCTGCTCTTTGAAAACAGACAATCTAAACCGAAGCGGCTTCTTTCATCCTCAGTTCAAGACCCCCCCAATGATCTAATTTCAAATCTGATGCTGAACAAATAAAAGCCAAATCACTGAAACAAGTGTCGCCAGCAACAATCCTGTGAACCGCTGAGGGATGAATGAGCTCTTTCTTGAGTGTATGTTCCCCTGGGAATAAAAGAAAAATATAGTTTGTAGTGGGAAAAAAAGTGTTTTTTCTTATTTTATGGTTGTTGTTTATGTAAACCCACTCTGAAGTGAACTTTGATTAATGATGCTTTATAATAAATTGCATTTACAATCATTCAGATTGATGCAGGTACCACTTTAACAATGCTTACAATTGTTAGGATATGTATTTTACTGTGACAATTTCTGGTAAAAGTTGGAAATTAAACAAGAGAATTCATATTAAGATAAGATAAAACTTTATTGATCCCACAGTGGGGAAATTCGCACATTACTGCAACTTAATGCAGGAGAGGCTGAGAAGAATAATGAAAGATAAATAAAAGATAAACAAAAAACAACCCCACAATATAATCAAGTGAAATATTGTAATGCACATTTACACATATATATTCACACATATGCATATTTATATACATATACACACCGTAAAGTACAGTACAAAAATGAATGTATATGAAGGTGCATATTAGTGATGGCAGTGTAGGTGAAATGTCCAAGTGACTGATGACATCATTAGAAAAGGAACCAGAAGAAAAAATACTTTAAAGCTTGACTATACAAACAGAAAACAAACATACAGAAAATATGACATTTACACACACACACACACACACACACACACACACACACACACACACACAC